TCACTTCACCAACTTAGACTATTGTGTTTTGATCCATCACATAAAATTCAGATTATTAAAACATTGAACTTAAAGCTGTAATGTAACAAAATAAGTAAAAAGTCAAGGGGGGGTGAATACTTTTGCAAGGCACTGTATATGGACAAGAATTTACTTTAATTACTGACCACAACCTGTTGGTCTGGCTTAAGCGGTTTGTAGGGGACAATGGCCGACTACTACGTTGGAGCCTGGCCCTGCAAACTTATAATTACACCATCCACTACTGGTCCAGGAAGCAGAATGGCATTGCTGACAGGTTGTCCCGGGAAACAGAACTTTCCACCTGATCCAACCACGGACATCCCCAAGTTGACCGGAAAAAGGTCAAACCGGTCTGCCTTGCTTACAGTCACTGTTTGTCGCTCTTGGGACTTCTAACTGGAACAAATTCGAACTTTCGAAATGGCACTTCGAATAGTCGAAGTGAGTTGAAGTGAGTCAAAGTGGTCGCCATTCGACATTCGGAAACACGTGGTGGTGGCCATCTTGTTTAGTCGAACATCCAGCGGTGTTTGGTCATCGAGTGCATGGAACTCAAACCAGACACTTAACAGCACAAACACCGCTAAAACGTTACCTTCCATGGATGTTCGGATATTCAAACGGGAGTTGAACAGCGTTCGGAAAGAAGATGCCCCAGAACAAGAGACATACACAGACTATACCCATGAACGGCTTCTTTCAGTAATTCGAACAGTATTTTGACTATTTGAGATAAACTGGCCGCAAAGCCTGATTCTCTAGAACTTTTTTTTGCATCAAACCATGCGTGAGGTCGGTCAAAAAAAGACTTCAAGGAATTTCCTGAACCAATGCTCTGATCTGGGTGATTTTGGATAGTTTGTTCACCCAGATCAGGGCTATTATGGTATGTAACATGTGGGGATATTATGTGTTTTGGAGTATGTGGCAGACCTCTCTGCCTTTGGATTATTGCTTAAACCTGATTCGTCTGTTTGTTCGGTTATTGCTGGTTGTTCGTATTCCCCCAAATACGGAAAATACTACCGAACGGCAACCCACCCAGCAGGGAAGTGTGCTGCTCGTTAACCTTTCTGCCCTCATTAACATTGTGGTTAACCGCAGACACTTCCAACTCCCGAACGGTCAGCTGGGTGGTCGTCGTTTGTATGAACGAACACGTGGCGGGTGCCATCTTGGACAGTCGAACGCCCAGCGGTGTTCGTCTACAAACTCATGGAACTGATTTCGGACACTGCTTCCCACGAACACCGATGAAATCACCGACCCTTTATCGTTTGGTTCAAGGTTTATACGAACACTGTGCCATTCAGTAAATTGACAATGCATGAACGGAACTGTACCAGGTAGCAAACCCATGGAGGTCCTTCGTTTCGTTGTTCGCACCATGTACAAGACTTTAACTCCATGGCGATTGAAATGTATGTATGGGATCTGAGCGCTGTTTGGTTATATTGATTGCTCAGATCTAAGCTATCTGGGGATACGTTTAATGGGTGGGTTTTTACTGTTACTGTAAAATGGAGGATATTCTCTATCCCTGGAGGTAATTGAGTTACTTCTAGCACTTAACCCAATTATCTCCAGGATAGAGAGGAGGAGTTGTACTGTTCATGTGGGAGTGTTTTATACTGTAAATGAATGTGATTGGCTAATGTACAAAACTGTCTCAGTCTTCCACAAGGTCCCTATGGGAGTGTCCCTTGCTGGAAGACCTGCATAAAAGAATGACATGTGGCCCCCATTAAACGGATCCTGCTTGACCCTCAACAAAGAGCCTTGTCTCATACTTAGGGGGATAATTCGTATGTTTCCTGTTCAGCGCTTAGGAGTGTATCTGACGTCACGTTCAGGAAAAGGAACAGCTTCCCTACTCGGGGTGCCATTACAGGGTACTTTTGGGGTTTTATAAAAATATGTGTTTTTTTGGCATGGGGATAATTAAGTTAATACAGTATCTGACCTAATTATCTCCCAGGCAGAGAGGAGGGATTGTCTGTTTGTAATAGGAGTGTCATACGTTTGAACATCATTGTCATTGGTCTATGTCTTTATTGTGTCTGTTCCCCACAAGGTTCACGTGGGAGTATCCCTTGCATGGGGAATTGTATAAAAGGCCAGTGTGGCACCATTAAAATCATTCTTGCTCACCCTCATCATAGAGTCTCATCTCATGATTGTAGGGACCAGCTATACAGGCAATAATCACTCAGCTCTTGTAAGAGCTATACTATCCTGGGAAATCGGAAAGCATCACTCTGGACAGGGGGGAAAGAACGTCTAAGGTGGCGAAATCCCTCATGCTCTCAGGGTAGTCGCTACAAAGGGTATGACAAGCCTGGCATTTTTATAAGGAAAAATGAGCCCTGGCATTTTATAGGCAATGACGAGCCTGGCGTTTTATAGGGAATAACAAGCCTGGCATTATATAGAAAATAATGAGCCTGGCATTTTATAGAAAATAACGAGGCTGGCATTTTATAGAGAATAATGAGCCTGGCGTTTTATAGAGAATAACGAGCCTGGCATTATATAGAAAATAATGAGCCTGACATTTTATTGGGAATAATGAGCCTGGCATTTTATAGAGAATAACGAGTGATGTTCTGAGTGTGAGTGGGGGTGTGACCAGGAGCAGGGCTGGTGTGAGTGGGATTGTGACCAGGGGCTGGGT